CAGCCGTTTCGCCCAGCACCTCTTCTCGGTTTACTCGAGAATATTGTTCTCGCCTCAATGTTGGCCATCTGTTTGGTGCAGACGGCCACGGACCCATAGTAGAAAGCACGAATGTGCACATCGCCTTGCTCTCACCCCTGTCCCGTGTAGCCGATCTCCTACTCCTGGACCCGCCTCTTCACCTTTGCTGCTATCAGGGCGCGTTGCTGGGGAAATGAAACGAAGATTCGCGGCGCTAAGGTGAGAGTCACATGTCAAACACACACCCCTCCATCTGTGCAGCCGTTGCAAATCTGTCAGACGAGTCTGCGCGGCGCCGGTGCGAGGGCCACGTTTTGAAGATGAGCCGCCCTCCATCAGTTGGAACCGACCAGTGCTCCAACCGTGGATCCCGTGCAAACTGTTAACAGACGAGTGCGCGGCGCTGAGTTGAGAGCGACACGGTGAAAACGACCACTGCTCCATCGCTGCAAACTCTTACAGGGAATGTTCGCGGCGCTGAGGCGAGAGCCACATTTTGAAGAGGAGCGCCGTCCATCCGCGAAGCTGCTGCCAACTTCTAGCACGATCGCCCGCGGCGCGAAGGGAAGAGCTACATCGTGAAAACCGCCACCCATTCATCCGTGAAGTAGTTGCAAATTCAAGGCTTCTGCATCTGGCGAGGAAGTCTCACGCGAAACGCCCGGCCCGCCCGACCGGTACAGCTAGGGGTGCGACGTTGAGGAGTTATATACTTCTCAGAGAGAGGCCGCTCGTTCGTCCGTCTTGGGGTCGTCTCTCCGGCGGCCACGCTGAGGCCCTCTCTCTTGTCCGCAGCTGCGGGGGATTATAGCTAAGGGGCGGGAGGACCCTGGACATCCGGCGTCTCGATTGTCTCGAGACATGGCCCCCGACCTCTCGACCACTCCCCCGGGACCGGCCTCTCCTCCCGAGCCGTTGTGTGTGTGTGTGACGGCCCCGAGGAGGCAGGAGGCAGGAGGAGCCAGGAGGGAGAAGCAGGAGGCAGGCAGGAGGCAGGAGGCAGGAGGCGGCAGGAGGAGGAGGCGGCAGGAGGAGGACGAGGCAGGAGGCGGCAGGAGGAGCAGGAGCCCATGACCGGCGAGGTGCCCGCGCCGGGGGCGGCGGCGGAGGACGACCGGCCACCGTCGGGTGCCGGCGCGGCGGCGGGCGGCACCAACGAGCTGGAGGCCGAGCTCGCCAGGCTGGAAGCCCAGCTCGCCGCGGCCGAGGGCAGCTCGCCCCAGGCCAGGCCCACACCTCGAGGGGGAAACAGCGGCACATAATACGTAAACGACGAAGCTTCGAGGGTCTGGGTTTTTGGGCGGCTTCGTCGATTCTCGGCGGTTAGTGCCAGCCTCGGGGCGCTCTCCAGCGGCTGCGCCTCGCCGAGGGCATTCCCGGGGGAACCTGCATCGTCCCGAACGGCCGCCGGAGAGCCGGGTCATCTCATGGCCTTCGGCCCATCCCGCCACCGTGCCTGGGCCGTGGGAATGAAGCCTATTGGATGTTTGTTGGGATCTCGTGGGAGGCCTCTCGAGAGCCTCCTGGAGGCAATTTGGATGCCTCCTGGGGGCCGTTTTGGGGCCTCTCGGGGCCTCTTCTGGGCGCCTCTTGGGGCATCCTGGGCGCCTCCTGGGGCGGAAGGCTCGGATTTTCGGTTCGTGTTCCCTCTCTTGGGCCCTTTTGGGGGCCGTCTTGGGGCCCTCTCGGGCTGTCTTGGGCGACTTGGGATCCGTCTTGGGGCCTTGTTGGGCCGTCTAGGTGCCGTCTTGTGGGCGTCTTGGGCCGTCTTGGGGCGGTCTTGGAGGCCTCTCGGGCCGTCTTGGAGCGTCGGTACGCCGATAAGACGAGCATGCTGCTTCCATTGAACACCGAAGGTGGATCAATCGTTTTGGCTTCTTGGGCCTTCTTGCTCGGTCGGGCAGCCGTTTCGCCCAACACCTTTTCTCCGTTTACTCGAGAATCTGGTTCTCGCCTGAATGTTGGCTACATGTTTGGTGCAGACGGCCACGGACCCCTTGGTAGAAAACGCCTTGCTCTCACCCCTGTCCCGTGTAGCCGATCTCCTACTCCTGGACCCGGCTCTTCACCTTTGCTGCTATCAGGGTGCGTTGCTGGGGAAATGAAAAGAAGATTCGCGGCGCTAAGGTGAGAGTCACATGTTAAACACACACACCCCTCCATCTGTGCAACCGTTGCAAATCTGTCAGGCGAGTCTGCGCGGCGCCAGTGCGAGGGCCACGTTTTGAAGATGAGCCGCCCTCCATCAGTTGGAACCGACCAGTGCTCCAACCGTGAATCCCGTGCAAACTGTTAACAGACGAGTGCGCGGCGCTGAGTTGAGAGCGACACGGTGAAAACGACCACTGCTCCATCGCTGCAAAATCTTACAGGGAATGTTCGCGGCGCTGAGGCCAGAGCCACATTTTGAAGAGGAGCGCCGTCCATCCGCGAAGCTGCTGCCAACTTCTAGCACGATCGCCCGCGGCGCGAAGGGAAGAGCTACATCGTGAAAACCGCCACCCATTCATCCGTGAAGTAGTTGCAAATTCAAGGCTTCTGCATCTGGCGAGGAAGTCTCACGCGAAACGCCCGGCCCGCCCGACCGGTACAACTAGGGGTGCGACGTTGAGGAGTTATATACTTCTCAGAGAGAGGGTGCCCGAGCGGCCTTACTCCGTCCCTGCTCGCGTTCGTCCGTCTTGGGGTCGTCTCTCCGGCGGCCACGCTGAGGCCCTCTCTCTTGTCCGCAGCTGCGGGGGATTATAGCTAAGGAGCGGGGCTGGAGAGGGCGGGAGGACCCTGGGCATCCGGCGTCTCGATTGTCTCGAGACACGACCCCCGACCTCTCGACCACTCATGGGACCGGCCTCTCCTCCCGAGCCGTTGTGTGTGACGGCCCCGAGGAGGCAGGAGGCAGGAGGAGCCAGGAGGGAGAAGCAGGAGGCAGGCAGGAGGCAGGAGGCAGGAGGCGGCAGGAGGAGGAGGCGGCAGGAGGAGGACGAGGCAGGAGGCGGCAGGAGGAGGAGGAGCCCATGACCGGCGAGGTGCCCGCGCCGGGGGCGGCGGCGGAGGACGACCGGCCACCGTCGGGTGCCGGCGCGGCGGCGGGCGGCACCAACGAGCTGGAGGCCGAGCTCGCCAGGCTGGAAGCCCAGCTCGCCGCGGCCGAGGGCAGCTCGCCCCAGGCCGGGCCCACACCTCGAGGGGGAAACAGCGGCACATAATACGTAAACGACGAAGTTCGGGGTCTGGTTTTTGGGCGGGTGGTCGATTCTCGGCGGTTTAGTGCCAGCCTCGGCGCTCTCACAGCGGCTGCGCCTCGCCAAGGGCATTCCAGGGGAACCTGCATCGTCCCGAACGGCCGCGGAGAGCCGGGTCATCTCCTGGCCTTCGGCATCCCGCCACCGTGCCTGGGGCCGTGGGGGTGAAAAGCCTATTGGATATTTGTTGGGATCTCGTGGGAGGCCTCTCGAGAGCCTCCTGGAGGCAATTTGGATGCCTCCTGGGGGCCGTTTTGGGGCCTCTCGGGGCCTCTTCTGGGCGCCTCTTGGGGCATCCTGGGCGCCTCCTGGGGCGGAAGGCTCGGATTTTCGGTTCGTGTTCCCTCTCTTGGGCCCTTTTGGGGGCCGTCTTGGGGCCCTCTCGGGCTGTCTTGGGCGACTTGGGATCCGTCTTGGGGCCTTGTTGGGCCGTCTAGGTGCCGTCTTGTGGGCGTCTTGGGCCGTCTTGGGGCGGTCTTGGAGGCCTCTCGGGCCGTCTTGGAGCGTCGGTACGCCGATAAGACGAGCATGCTGCTTCCATTAAACACCGAAGGTGGATCAATCGTTTTGGCTTCTTGGGCCTTCTTGCTCGGTCGGGCAGCCGTTTCGCCCAACACCTTTTCTCCGTTTACTCGAGAATCTGGTTCTCGCCTGAATGTTGGCTACATGTTTGGTGCAGACGGCCACGGACCCCTTGGTAGAAAACGCCTTGCTCTCACCCCTGTCCCGTGTAGCCGATCTCCTACTCCTGGACCCGCCTCTTCACCTTTGCTGCTATCAGGGCGCGTTGCTGGGGAAATGAAACGAAGATTCGCGGCGCTAAGGTGAGAGTCACATGTCAAACACACACCCCTCCATCTGTGCAGCCGTTGCAAATCTGTCAGACGAGTCTGCGCGGCGCCGGTGCGAGGGCCACGTTTTGAAGATGAGCCGCCCTCCATCAGTTGGAACCGACCAGTGCTCCAACCGTGGATCCCGTGCAAACTGTTAACAGACGAGTGCGCGGCGCTGAGTTGAGAGCGACACGGTGAAAACGACCACTGCTCCATCGCTGCAAAATCTTACAGGGAATGTTCGCGGCGCTGAGGCGAGAGCCACATTTTGAAGAGGAGCGCCGTCACGCCGCGAAGCTGCTGCCAACTTCTAGCACGATCGCCCGCGGCGCGAAGGGAAGAGCTACATCGTGAAAACCGCCACCCATTCATCCGTGAAGTAGTTGCAAATTCAAGGCTTCTGCATCTGGCGAGGAAGTCTCACGCGAAACGCCCGGCCCGCCCGGCCGGTACAGCTAGGGGTGCGACATTGAGGAGTTATATACTTCTCAGAGAGAGGGTGCCCGAGCGGCCTTACTCCGTCCCTGCTCGCGTTCGTCCGTCTTGGGGTCGTCTCTCCGGCGGCCACGCTGGGAGGCCACGCTGGGAGGCCACGCTGGGAGGCCCTCTCTCTTGTCCGCAGCTGCGGGGGATTATAGCTAAGGAGCGGGGCTGGAGAGGGCGGGAGGACCCTGGGCATCCGGCGTCTCGATTGTCTCGAGACACGACCCCCGACCTCTCGACCACTCATGGGACCGGCCTCTCCTCCCGAGCCGTTGTGTGTGACGGCCCCGAGGAGGCAGGAGGCAGGAGGAGCCAGGAGGGAGAAGCAGGAGGCAGGCAGGAGGCAGGAGGCAGGAGGCGGCAGGAGGAGGAGGCGGCAGGAGGAGGACGAGGCAGGAGGCGGCAGGAGGAGGAGGAGCCCATGACCGGCGAGGTGCCCGCGCCGGGGGCGGCGGCGGAGGACGACCGGCCACCGTCGGGTGCCGGCGCGGCGGCGGGCGGCACCAACGAGCTGGAGGCCGAGCTCGCCAGGCTGGAAGCCCAGCTCGCCGCGGCCGAGGGCAGCTCGCCCCAGGCCGGGCCCACACCTCGAGGGGGAAACAGCGGCACAGAAAACGTAAACGACGAAGCTTCGAGGGTTTGGGTTTTTGGGCGGCTTCGTCGATTCTCGGCGGTTAGTGCCAGCCTCGGGGCGCTCTCCAGCGGCTGCGCCTCGCCGAGGGCATTCCCGGGGGAACCTGCATCGTCCCGAACGGCCGCCGGAGAGCCGGGTCATCTCCTGGCCTTCGGCCCATCCCGCCACCGTGCCTGGGCCGTGGGAATGAAGCCTATTGGATGTTTGTTGGGATCTCGTGGGAGGCCTCTCGAGAGCCTCCTGGAGGCAATTTGGATGCCTCCTGGGGGCCGTTTTGGGGCCTCTCGGGGCCTCTTCTGGGCGCCTCTTGGGGCATCCTGGGCGCCTCTTGGGGCGGAAGGCTCGGATTTTCTGTTTGTGTTCCCTCTCTTGGGCCCTTTTGGGGGCCGTCTTGGGGCCCTCTCGGGCTGTCTTGGGCGACTTGGGATCCGTCTTGGGGCCTTGTTGGGCCGTCTAGGTGCCGTCCTGTGGGCGTCTTGGGCCGTCTTGGGGCGGTCTTGGAGGCCTCTTGGGCCGTCTTGGAGCGTCGGTACGCCGATAAGACGAGCATGCTGCTTCCATTAAACACCGAAGGTGGATCAATCGTTTTGGCTTCCTGGGCCTTCTTGCTCGGTCGGGCAGCCGTTTCGCCCAACACCTTTTCTCCGTTTACTCGAGAATCTGGTTCTCGCCTGAATGTTGGCTACATGTTTGGTGCAGACGGCCACGGACCCCTTGGTAGAAAACGCCTTGCTCTCACCCCTGTCCCGTGTAGCCGATCTCCTACTCCTGGACCCGCCTCTTCACCTTTGCTGCTATCAGGGCGCGTTGCTGGGGAAATGAAACGAAGATTCGCGGCGCTAAGGTGAGAGTCACATGTTAAATACACACCCCTCCATCTGTGCAGCCGTTGCAAATCTGTCAGACGAGTCTGCGCGGCGCCGGTGCGAGGGCCACGTTTTGAAGATGAGCCGCCCTCCATCAGTTGGAACCGACCAGTGCTCCAACCGTGGATCCCGTGCAAACTGTTAACAGACGAGTGCGCGGCGCTGAGTTGAGAGCGACACGGTAAAAACGACCACTGCTCCATCGCTGCAAAATCTTACAGGGAATGTTCGCGGCGCTGAGGCGAGAGCCACATTTTGAAGAGGAGCGCCGTCCATCCGCGAAGCTGCTGCCAACTTCTAGCACGATCGCCCGCGGCGCGAAGGGAAGAGCTACATCGTGAAAACCGCCACCCATTCATCCGTGAAGTAGTTGCAAATTCAAGGCTTCTGCATCTGGCGAGGAAGTCTCACGCGAAACGCCCGGCCCGCCCGACCGGTACAGCTAGGGGTGCAACGTTGAGGAGTTATATACTTCTCAGAGAGAGGGTGCCCGAGCGGCCTTACTCCGTCCCTGCTCGCGTTCGTCCGTCTTGGGGTCGTCTCTCCGGCGGCCACGCTGGGAGGCCACGCTGGGAGGCCCTCTCTCTTGTCCGCAGCTGCGGGGGATTATAGCTAAGGAGCGGGGCTGGAGAGGGCGGGAGGACCCTGGGCATCCGGCGTCTCGATTGTCTCGAGACACGGCCCCCGACCTCTCGACCACTCCCCCGGGACCGGCCTCTCCTCCCGAGCCGTTGTGTGTGACGGCCCCGAGGAGGCAGGAGGCAGGAGGAGCCAGGAGGGAGAAGCAGGAGGCAGGCAGGAGGCAGGAGGCAGGAGGCGGCAGGAGGAGGAGGCAGGCGCAGGACTCGAAAATATTGTTCTCGCCTCAATGTTGGCCATCTGTTTGGTGCAGACGGCCACGGACCCTTAGTAGAAAACACGAATGTGCACATCGCCTTGCTCTCACCCCTGTCCCGTGTAGCCGATCTCCTACTCCTGGACCCGCCTCTTCACCTTTGCTGCTATCAGGGTGCGTTGCTGGGGAAATGAAACGAAGATTCTCGGCGCTAAGGTGAGAGTCACATGTTAAACACACACACACACACACCCCTCCATCTGTGCAGCCGTTGCAAATCTGTCAGGCGAGTCTGCGCGGCGCCGGTGCGAGGGCCACGTTTTGAAGATGAGCCGCCCTCCATCAGTTGGAACCGACCAGTGCTCCAACCGTGGATCCCGTGCAAACTGTTAACAGACGAGTGCGCGGCGCTGAGTTGAGAGCGACACGGTGAAAACGACCATTGCTCCATCGCTGCAAAATCTTACAGCGAATGTTCGCAGCGCTGAGGCGAGAGCCACATTTTGAAGAGGAGCGCCGTCACGCCGCGAAGCTGCTGCCAACTTCTAGCACGATCGCCCGCGGCGCGAAGGGAAGAGCTACATCGTGAAAACCGCCACCCATTCATCCGTGAAGTAGTTGCGAATTCAAGGCGAGGAGCCAGGAGGGAGAAGCAGGAGGCAGGCAGGAGGCAGGAGGCAGGCGGCGGCAGGAGGAGGAGGCGGCAGGAGGAGGACGAGGCAGGAGGCGGCAGGAGGAGGAGGAGCCCATGACCAGCGAGGTGCCCGCGCCGGGGGCGGCGGCGGAGGACGACCGGCCACCGTCGGGTGCCGGCGCGGCGGCGGGCGGCACCAACGAGCTGGAGGCCGAGCTCGCCAGGCTGGAAGCCCAGCTCGCCGCGGCCGAGGGCAGCTCGCCCCAGGCCTGGCCCACACCTCGAGGGGGAAACAGCGGCACAGAAAACGTAAACGACGAAGCTTCGAGGGTTTGGGTTTTTGGGCGGCTTCGTCGATTCTCGGCGGTTAGTGCCAGCCTCGGGGCGCTCTCCAGCGGCTGCGCCTCGCCGAGGGCATTCCCGGGGGAACCTGCATCGTCCCGAACGGCCGCCGGAGAGCCGGGTCATCTCCTGGCCTTCGGCCCATCCCGCCACCGTGCCTGGGCCGTGGGAATGAAGCCTATTGGATGTTTGTTGGGATCTCGTGGGAGGCCTCTCGAGAGCCTCCTGGAGGCAATTTGGATGCCTCCTGGGGGCCGTTTTGGGGCCTCTCGGGGCCTCTTCTGGGCGCCTCTTGGGGCATCCTGGGCGCCTCTTGGGGCGGAAGGCTCGGATTTTCGGTTTGTGTTCCCTCTCTTGGGCCCTTTTGGGGGCCGTCTTGGGGCCCTCTCGGGCTGTCTTGGGCGACTTGGGATCCGTCTTGGGGCCTTGTTGGGCCGTCTAGGTGCCGTCCTGTGGGCGTCTTGGGCCGTCTTGGGGCGGTCTTGGAGGCCTCTTGGGCCGTCTTGGAGCGTCGGTACGCCGATAAGACGAGCATGCTGCTTCCATTAAACACCGAAGGTGGATCAATCGTTTTGGCTTCCTGGGCCTTCTTGCTCGGTCGGGCAGCCGTTTCGCCCAACACCTTTTCTCCGTTTACTCGAGAATCTGGTTCTCGCCTGAATGTTGGCTACATGTTTGGTGCAGACGGCCACGGACCCCTTGGTAGAAAACGCCTTGCTCTCACCCCTGTCCCGTGTAGCCGATCTCCTACTCCTGGACCCGCCTCTTCACCTTTGCTGCTATCAGGGTGCGTTGCTGGGGAAATGAAACGAAGATTCGCGGCGCTAAGGTGAGAGTCACATGTTAAACACACACACCCCTCCATCTGTGCAGCCGTTGCAAATCTGTCAGGCGAGTCTGCGCGGCGCCGGTGCGAGGGCCACGTTTTGAAGATGAGCCGCCCTCCATCAGTTGGAACCGACCAGTGCTCCAACCGTGGATCCCGTGCAAACTGTTAACAGACGAGTGCGCGGCGCTGAGTTGAGAGCGCATGGTGAAAACGACCACTGCTCCATCGCTGCAAAATCTTACAGGGAATGTTCGCGGCGCTGAGGCGAGAGCCACATTTTGAAGAGGAGCGCCGTCCGCCGCGAAGCTGCTGCCAACTTCTAGCACGATCGCCCGCGGCGCGAAGGGAAGAGCTACATCGTGAAAACCGCCACCCATTCATCCGTGAAGTAGTTGCAAATTCAAGGCTTCTGCATCTGGCGAGGAAGTCTCACGCGAAACGCCCGGCCCGCCCGACCGGTACAACTAGGGGTGCGACATTGAGGAGTTATATACTTCTCAGAGAGAGGGTGCCCGAGCGGCCTTACTCCGTCCCTGCTCGCGTTCGTCCGTCTTGGGGTCGTCTCTCCGGCGGCCACGCTGGGAGGCCCTCTCTCTTGTCCGCAGCTGCGGGGGATTATAGCTAAGGAGCGGGGCTGGAGAGGGCGGGAGGACCCTGGGCATCCGGCGTCTCGATTGTCTCGAGACACGGCCCCCGACCTCTCGACCACTCCCCCGGGACCGGCCTCTCCTCCCGAGCCGTTGTGTGTGACGGCCCCGAGGAGGCAGGAGGCAGAGGAGCCAGGAGGGAGAAGCAGGAGGCAGGCAGGAGGCAGGAGGCGGCAGGAGGAGGAGGAGGAGGCGGCAGGAGGAGGACGAGGCAGGAGGCGGCAGGAGGAGGAGGAGCCCATGACCGGCGAGGTGCCCGCGCCGGGGGCGGCGGCGGAGGACGACCGGCCACCGTCGGGTGCCGGCGCGGCGGCGGGCGGCACCAACGAGCTGGAGGCCGAGCTCGCCAGGCTGGAAGCCCAGCTCGCCGCGGCCGAGGGCAGCTCGCCCCAGGCCTGGCCCACACCTCGAGGGGGAAACAGACCTCGGGGCGCTCTCCAGCGGCTGCGCCTCGCCGAGGGCATTCCCGGGGGGAACCTGCATCGTCCTGCGAACGGCCGCCGGAGAGCCGGATTATCGAAGACGTCTACGGCGAATCACCGCCGCCCCCTGCCTTTTTGGAATCGCCACTGTGGCCGAACGTTGGGGCCAGACCTGCCAAGCTATCGGACCATGTGTTCCCCGAATCGGTTTGGAAAGCCTTCGGGGAACACGTGGGCATCTTGAAGATCATCTTGGCCGTGTGGAGGCCATTTTGACCCTTTCGGGCCTTCTTGGAGGACGTCTTGGAGGGCTCTTGGGTTGTCTTGGAGGCCATCTTGAGCGTCTTGGAGGCCTCTTGGGCCGTCTTGGGGGCCTCTTGGGGCCGTCTTGGGCCTCTTGGGCGATCTTTGGGGGCACTTGGGCCGTCTCGGGCCGTCGGAAGGCAGAAAATTAGCAAAAGCCACTATCCTTCAAAAACTCATGGGAAATCAATGATTGTGGCCTTCTGGGCCCTTCCTGGAGGCCCTCTTGGATGCCTTTTGGGCCGTCTTGGGCCATCTTAGGGCCATCTTCGGCCGTTTTGGTGGGCTCCTGGCGGCCGTCTTGGAGGCCATCTTGGGCGTCTTAAAAGCCTCCTGGGCCGCCTTGGGGGCCTCTTGGGGCCGTCTTGGGGGCCTCCTGGGCCGTTCTGGGGCCATTTTGGATGTCTCTTGGGCGATCTTTGGGCGATCTTTGGGGGCTCTTGGGGCCGTCGCAAGGCCGAAAATAAGCAAATGCCACAACCCTTCAAAAACCTAAGGAACATCAATGTTTATAGCCTCTTCTGGCCTTCCTGGAGGCCCTCTTGGAGGCCTCTTGAGCCGTCTTGGGCCAGCTTCGAGCCAAATTCGGCCATCTTGGTGGGCTCCTGGCCCGTCTGACGCCGTCGGAAGCCGTTTGGAGGGCCTCTCTGGGCCGACTTGGGGCCCTCTTGGGGTGCTCCACGGCCGTCTTGGAGGCCATCTTGGGCGTCTTGGAGGCCTCTTGGGTCGGCTTGGCGCCCTTTGGGGGCCGCCTTGGGGGCCTCTTGGGCAGTCCTGAGGCCATCTTGGAGGCCTCTTGGGCGCTGTGGGGGCGATCTTTGGGGCCTCTTGGGCCGTCTTGGGTCGTCGGAAAGCCGAAAACCTCTTTGATAACATAGGAAAATGTATGATTTTGGTTTCTTCGGGCCCTCCTGGAGGACCTCTTGAAGGCCTCTTCGGCCGTCTTGGTGGCATCTTGGAGGCTTCTTGGGCGAACTTGGGGTTATCTTGGACTTTCTTAGGCCGTCTTGGAGGCCGTCTTGGACCATCTTCGGCGGACTTGGAGGCTTGGACAATCTTGGAGGCCATCTTGGAGGCCATCTGGAGCCGTCTTGGGGGATTTTTGGGGGAATTGAGCTCCGTGGCAATCCTCCCGGGACCCCGGCGGGACGGGCTGAAGACCCAGGGGGAGTTTTTGTTGGGAAGAAGAACCAAAACCAAAACCGAAAGGATTCAGCACGCCAGGCACCCCTCTTGCAAGCAACAGGGGGCGGCGGATCGAAGACGCCTGCGGCGACGTTTTGGAAGCGCCTCTGTAGCCGAACGTTGAGGCCAGACCCATGTGTTCCCCGAATCGGTTTGGAAAGCCTTCGGGGAAGACGTGGACATCTTGAAGGTCGTCTTGGCAGTGTGGAGGCCACTTTGACCCTTTCGGGCCTTCTTGGAGGACGTCTTGGAGGGCTAGTGGGCCGTCTTGGAGGCCATCTTGGGCGTCTTAAAAGCCTCTTGGGCCGTCTTGGGTGCCTCCTGGGGCCGTCCTCTTGGGCGATCTTTGGGGGCACTTGGGCCTTCTCGGGCCGTCGGAAGGCAGAAAATAAGCAAATGCCACAACCCATCAAAAACTCATGGGAAATCAATGATGTTGGCCTGCTGGGCCCTTCCTGGAGGCCCTCGTGGAAGCCTCGTGGGCCGTCTTGGGCCATCTTAGGGCGATCTTCGGCCCACAGCTTGAGGATTTCTCGTGCGACTTCTCCATCCCACAGCTTTGAGGATTTAAATGGCTTCGAGCCCGTGGTGAAGGGTCACCGGTGCCACTGTTGCTAAATGGAGTGCTCACTTGCGTGGTCGTTCATGGAGTTGGGGCTCTCTTGCGCTGGGAAAAAAAATCTTAGGGCGATCTTCGGCCGTTTTGGTGGGCTCCTGGCCCGTCCGACGCCGTCGGAAGCCGTTTGGGGGGCCCTCTTGGAATGCTACAGGGCCGTCTTGGAGGCCATCTTGGGCGTCTTGGGGGCATCTTGGGGCTGTTCTGGGGGCCTCTTGGGCCGTTCTGGGGCCATCTTGGAGGCCTATTGGGCGATCTTTGGACGATCTTTGGGGGCTCATTGGCCGTCTCGGGCCGTCGGGAGGCCGAAAAAAAGCAGATGTCAAAATCCTTCAAAAACCCAAGGGACATCACTGTTTTTGCCCTTTTCTGGCCTTCCTGGAGGCCCTCTTGGTGCCCTCGTGTCCTGGTGTCCTGCGTCTCGCGACCCATGCCTCCTATATTCCTGTGGGGTCCTCGGGCCTGGCGGTGCGCATCCCCCGAAGCCCTGGAGCCCCCTGGCGACGGCCTCGCGGGGGCGTCAGCCGCCAGAAGTCCGAGGCGAGCCCGACGCCCGTGGCATCGCTCGGACGTGTGCATTGTTTTTTTCGGCGAGGCGAGGAGCACCCATGATCATCAAGGAGCATCGAGGATCATCGAGGAGCATCCTGGATCGTCCTGCGGAAAAACACACGCACGAAATCAGACATTCACGCTGGAATGAACGCCCGAGCGATGGCGGAGCGCCACGCCGAGGCCGGGCCGCGCGGGGGGGCAGTCGCGGCCAGCCTGGCGTCAGCGTCAGCGGCTGCACAGCCTCCCGCGGCCTGCGAGCGGCGCAGGCCAGCCCCCCCCAGTCGCACGCTCTTGAGCTGACGATGCTGATTCTGACACTGAAGCTCATCGCCATCATCATCAACAACATCATCATCATCCCCTCATCATCATCATCATCATCACCATCATCAACAACAACATCCTCAAAATCATCGCCATCATCATCATCATCATCATCACCATCATCATCATCATCAGCAGCATCCTCAACATCATCAACATCATCATCATCATCATCATCATCATCATCATCATCATCATCATCATCATCGTCATCAACATCATCATCAGCATCATCAATATCACCTTCACCATTATCAGTATCACCATCATCATCACCACATGAATCATCACCGTCAACACCATCACCATCACCATCACCATCGTCCTTCCATCACAACCCACCGACAGCACCATCAGCAGCACCACCACCATTATCATTAACACCACCAGCACCACCACCATCATCGTCACCATCATCATCATCACCATCATCAGCATCAGCATCAGGATCATCAACATGATTATAATCATCATGTGGCGCTTTCTTTCTCCCGACGGGCGGGCGACTCGCCCGAGGCGGCAGACGACGGCCAGAGCAGGCTGACGCCTTCGGGCGCGACCTTGGGCGAGCCCGCGGCCCCCGAGCCGGCGGGCGAGGAGCCTGTTGTGAGCGAGACCGTGAGGCTGAAGTCGCCTCCGTCGACCAGCGGCCAGCATGAGGCGAGCAGCGGCGAGGGCCACGGTTCGAGGAAGGGGAAAATTGCATCAGCATGCATTGTCGAAAGTCCGTGCGGAGCTCTTGGATCTACGCTGGGCCCCCCTGGCGGCGCCTCTGGCGCTGCCCCCAGGGAGGGGGGTCCAGCGCCGATGCAAGCACTTCGCGCGGACCTCCGAAAGTTTGTGCTTACGCTCTTGCTGGTGACTCCGAAGGTGAGGCCAGTCGTGAAACGGCGGTTCCCGAGACAGACAGAGGCGACGGGTCTGTCGTGAGGAACGAGACAGAGCGCTCGGTCACGATCACGAATTGGTATGGCCGCATAGGGAACAACATCATTCAGGTGGTGAACGCTATCTTGTTCTGCCAGGCCAATGGTTACGAGAAGCTGAAGTTGCCAGCTGACATGAAAAACTTGAACCATTTGTTCGACATGCCTAACGACATCGCAATTGTGCAACGCACGATGGACGACAGTGTCAAGCTCACGTGCAAGTGGAATCCACCATACATGCATTGGTTTTTTGGCCGCTGTATGTCTATTACCAAGGGAATATTCAAGCGTACGATGGAGGAGTATCTGGTACCACATTTAACCAACAGCACAGCTGCAGCGTGTCGCCAGGAGCACGGTCATCCCTTCAATGGGCTGACTATCCATCTTCGCAGCGGGGACACCGCAAGGCAGTCGATGCACACCTCGCAGACCGCGTACGCCTCGTGCAGCTTCTTCGAGAAGGTCATCTACGATCAGAAGTTCACAGCGGCCCGCGTCGTCACTGAAGCAGATCTGTCGCACCCGTGCATACCCTTTCTCAGAACCCGGCTGCCCGAAATGGGTGTCCCTGTTAGCTTCGAGAGCAGTACTATCGAGCAGGACGCCTGCGCCCTCATGAACGCCAGGTACCTCCCCCAGAACATATTGCAAGCAGTAACCAGCAAACATATTACCCCTAACATATTGTAAACAGTAGGGCTGGTCGCCAGGTGCTTTCCCATTTCCCCATCCCGTCTGCCCGTTCTCCCTCTCTCGCTCCCCGATGTACTTCCGCGCGCGGCAGATTCGTGCCGCGCCGACGCGGCGGCGGCCCCTGACGCCGGCGTTCCGGGGCTGCTCGGTGGGCGCAGCATCGGCCGAATTGAAGCCATTTGCCCCGTCGGACAGTCGCGGTCGTGGAGCCACCCGCACGGTGTCAGAGACCAGCGCCGGCGTCGCCGCGACGTCATTGTGCCGCGTGGTCCAGACGCTGAAGAAGCACCGTTTCAGGCTCGAGAGGGGTGATGCTTTTCGGTCCGTTCCTTCGATCTGGTCCGGGGCCGTGGACGAGGCTCGCCGCAGCCAAAAAGCGCCTCCGTTCTTTGTTCGGCGCCCCACTTGGTAGCGTGATGACTGTACACTGCCCCTCTCCACCTTCCACGCTCTTCTCGGGAAGGTCGGAGGAAGGACTCTTGTTCCCTTACGACCGTGAGGTATCTTGCCTTCGGCTCGTGGAGCACCTTCTCCCAGACGCTAGAGCTCCTCAACGACCGCGTCGCGAAGAGCTTCCTGCCCGTGCCGCCAGAAGGCCTCCCCCCTCCCTCCTCCTCCTCCTCCTCCTCCTCCTCCTCCTCCTCCTCTCCTCCTCCTTCCTCTCCTCCTCCTCCTCCTCCTCCTCCTCCTCCTCCTCCTCCTCCTCCCCCCTCCATCATCCTCCTCATCCTCCTCCCCTGTCCTCATCCTCCCTCCTCCTCCTCCCCTCCCACCTCCTCCTCCTCTACCTCCTCCTCCTCCTCCTCTCCTTACGTAGCCGGTTTGGCCCAAGACGCGACTCTCGGGTGAGCCAAATGGATGCCGATGATCCGCGGCAGTCGAACGCTGTTGCAGGGGTCCTCTGCTGTCCAGGGCGGGATCAGCGGCTTCCATCGGTCTCGGGAGCAGGAGGGCGGCTCTCGAGCCTCAGATCGAACCCCGCAGGGACCAGCAATGCGGCGCCGCAGAGTCGCGGGGGCCATTCGAGGCGCTGGGCCTACAAGTTCTGCGTCAACGGCAGGACGGGACAACCCTGGTGGAATGCTTCAGAGGCGACCAGGTGTGTGCGATGCAAGCTGTGGAAGTCGGTATGCTTCAAGCCGCACGTCGGGCCGAAGGAACCGCCCCGCAACCTGCGTGAGGCACCTCCTTGGGCCGAAGGCAGGGAGGAGGTGGCGGCGACGGCGCGAATGCAGGAGCTCGAGTCGGAGGTCGCGCGTTTCAAGATCGCGTCAGCAGCGCCAGCAGGAAGGGCATCCCAGGCAGCCGCCATGGATGTCGACGCTGGCGGCGGCATCGGCGCAAGCTACAGCACCGCCAAGATGGAGGAGGCAGACCGTCGAAAGAGGATCAAGGAGATCGAGAAGCCGTTGGCCTTGTTGGGAAAAGGCTTTCAGCGTGCGAGCCGCTATGAGGACACACTCTGTCAGTTGTCTGTTTGTGTGGGTGGGTCTTATTTCCAGTTGGGACGGCGATCTTCGATGTGTGTTTGGGCCAGAGAGGATGTGGATCAGGAGTGCTTCGGGTTGGTTGATGACATAGCCAAGGTGCAGGTGGCTCATGCGTGGCGTTTCCGTGCCAGATAGAGGGGCTGCGTCGACAAATCCCTCTTGACTGGGGCCAGCCTGGCTCACAGTTTTACTCGTTTGGAAGCTGCGCAGGGGGCGGCCGAGTCGGGAACGGAGGTGGGCCCCCACGAGGTGGCCGACAGAGAGAGAGAGAGAGAGAGATCAGGACGTGGGCCAAGGTCGGGGAGTGCCATGGTGAGTCGGAGTTCGCGTTGCCACCTGGTGCTGGTCAGGGGGGGTCGTTACCGTTCATCACGGTGGCAAGTTTGCGGCAAGCCATGTCGAGTTCTTCTTGGTGTGCGGTTGCTGGGCCCTCTGGGTTCCAAGCCTGATCAGTCTGATGTTTGTCAAATCAATGGTTGAGTGTGGAGGCCTTGTCGTGGAATGCGAAGCGTCGCATGTTCTAGGAGATGGTAACGATCCCAGAGGATGGAGGAGGGCCACGCCCAGTGGCCCTGGTCCACATGGTGGCTCGGACATGGGCAAGAGTGCCCAGGCCAGTGCCTCGCTGCTGGCTGGGCGGTCACCTCGCGGAGCTCATATGGGGCAGCAGGCGAGGCTGTTCATCGTCGGCGGCAGACGTCTCGCACAATGCCAGCCCCGAGTTGGCGACGTTGCTAGAAGAGCACGCGGTGCAGGTCATGATTGACATGTGGGATGCATCGGCACCGCATTCGTGGCTAAGCTCTTTCATGACACGCGTGCGGTGCCCTCCCGCTCAGGGTGTGCTGATGCGACGACGCTGCTGACGGTGCTGATGTTCGGGACATTCGACGAAAAGCTGCAGCAAGCGTGTAGATCGGCATGCCCACGTGAGTGAGTTGATGGTGTGACTTTGCAGTGGGTTGGCGCACAAGGCCAATGGATCTACAGAGCTGGTGATTGCGACTCGGCTGCTGGCACATGAGTCCAGACCGCTGGGGCTGATCATTCAGCCAACTAAGAATGCGTTTGCTTCCACGTCCAGGTCGGTGGTACATGCGTTCAAGCCATGGGCCAGGGCGATAAGGATCAGACAGAAAGGGATGACAGGAATCTAGGGGGCGACGCGTGCTGCAGACAGGTCCACAGGTCGGTTGCCAAGGCCAGTGTTCAGAAGCTGAGATCTCGGGTGCCCAGGGTAAAGCTTCTGAAGAAGGCCGGGGTGGGTGGGTGGGTTGGTGGGAGTGCAGGCTCTCTCGCGTGCCAGGCTGCTGGCCTTAGCAGCGCACGGTGCAGGGGTTTCTGGAGTGACAGATCCAGATTTTCGGCCCCTGCGTCAGACGGCGGCGGCAGTGTGTGGTGCATCTTCGGGTGGGGCGAGTCATGCTGTGTAGACCGCCACGCAGCGCGAGAAACTGCTGGATCCTGTGTTCGAGGCCACTTGCAGCATCGTCTTCATCTACTGCGGATTCGTTTGGGACCAGAGCATCGAGGTGGGCCGCCTGGAGCGCGCGTGGCGGGTGTTGCAAACTCGGCGGCGGCAGGTGGCTCCGCATTGGCGTAGAGCCCGTGGTCCGCTGGCGGCGTGTTGGGTGTCGCAGCGAGGGGTTGGCTGGGACGTGCTCAGCCGCGCGACCATCAAGTCCGACGGGGGGCTCAAGTTTTGTCCGCGCTGCGCGCGCCGCCCGTCGAGATCAGGCAGGCCTTTGAGGGAAGGCTTCCAGCGTGGGCAGTCCTGTCGGCTGTTGCCGCACCTCGGCGAGCACCCTGGCAGGCGGCGGGCAGACCTGGATGCGAGCCATGCCCCTCGTCACTGGACAGCGCAAGGCGGCGGTGCGCACGCCGCCGATGGCAGGAGGCTCTTCGCGCGCCGTGGTGGCTTCACGTCGGTGTCGAAGAGCTGCTCCAGGAAGCTGGTTGGTTCGCCCGTCTGCCCTCGCCCCGACTGTGCTGCTCGCAGCCTCGAGGGGGGCGGCGGTGGGCCGCCTCTTCCACGCCTGCCCGCTGCTGCTGGGCGAGGGCGCGCGCAAGGCATGAGGAGATTGAAACCGTGAGGGAGGAGTTGGCTGAGCGTGCGGTCACCGTGTGCTGCCATGAATGTTGGGGCCTCCTGGAGTTTCCCATCGGGCCCCCGGGGCGCCCAACGCCGCTCCCGACTGTCGAGAGGAAGCCTCCTGTTCTGTGTGTGTTTGGAAGGCTCGGGGGTCTAAGTTTCAGCTCGGGGCCCAGTGGGCCTGCGGAGGCGGGTCTGTCATGCGCTCGGCAATGCCAGAGACCCTTAGGAGAGAAGGAGAAGGCCGAGGAGGAGGAGGAGAAGGAATACGAGGACGAGGAGGAGGAGGAGGAGGAGGAGGAGGAACAGGAGGACAAGTAGGAGGAGGAGGAGGAGGATGAGGAGGAGGAGGAGGATAACAAGGAGGAGGAGGAGGAGGAGGAGGAGGAGGAGATGTGGATGGGCGGTGGGGATGGGAGGGGTTCGGACTCGCGCTGCGCGCGGCCCTCTTCCAGGGGCGAACCATGCTGCAGGGGTTGCCGAGAGGGGCGCCATCTTCCAGTGCTTAGTTCGAATCTCTTGGGTGCGCTTGTTTATGTCTGATTGTTTAGGGGCGGCCCAGGAGGGCAAGTCTTTGGGTCCCCAGTCTCGCCGAGGCCCGAGGGACCCACGCGTCGATTTGGCGGATAATGCCGCATGGGTTTGGGCCACGGTGCTTGCGGGCCTGATTTCGATTGGATCTTGAAAGGCCACCAGAGTGGTGGATTGGGAACTCGTGGGCCGACTACGCTGCTAAGCTCGGGGCGTCGTCACACTCGGCCCCCCAATAACTTGAAAGCAGGTTTGCATGTCATCTGGAGCGTCATCAGGAGGAGGCTGAGTTTTGCGTTGGCCACGGCGCAGCTGGCATCGTCGGCCGAAGACGTAAATTCAATGGTGAGCGGCTGGATGCGTTACTGTGGGGGTTGGGCTCATGGCGTCTCTGTCGAGGGGCCCCTCGCGTCTGTGCTCCCTTGGCTCCATGAGCACGATCTGTGGGCCCTGGGGCCTGGACGCAAGTTCGCAAGAGTTGTTTGAGGCAGGCCAATGACGTCTGGGGACGGCCGACCGTGCGAACCCCTATGCGTTCCAGGCCAGCAGTGCCAGACTCGCCTCCCCGACTGGGGTCAGCGGGGCCATGCACGTTCTGTCATCACTGGGAGGCTTAGTGCTCGCAGAGAATGGGGCCTATCCTGAAGTGTCAGTGTCGGGAGCGGCTCGACAGTGGGCCCAAGGTGGCCCTGGCTCTGTTACTTGGTGGCAAGCACCCCAAGACAGAAGAGGCCCTGTAAGTTTGTGTGCTTGTGTGGTTTGGTGTGGTCTGTCTGGTGAGCGTGGATGCTGCGCCGTGACCCATCCCCTGCCCAGAAGCAGGCGTCAATAGTTTGAAGATGATTGACGCCCATGTTTGGCGTTTGCCTCGGAATGTTTTCGGGCAACAAGTTGGTTGGCACTTCCATTGCTGTTATCCTCCTCCTCCTCCTCCTCCTCCTCCTCCTCCTCCTCATCCCTCGAACGCGAGAGGGGGCTCTGGAAACGAGGGGTCGTGCGGCTTCTGTTGCCCTGTCCGGGCTCCTGGGTCTCTCCCGGGGCCCCGGGCGTCCGCCAAGACCAGGTCCACGTGAGAAGCGCCGATCCCCGCGGGCCACGCCCCCCCCCCCGGGGGCCCCAGGACTCGATTCCGCTTGGGCGTTGCGTAATGGAGGGGTCATAAATGGGGGGGTGGCGAGGGTGGTCCGAAAAGGTACCCAAACGGTACCTAAACGAGCCCCCCTGGGGGTCCGGAGGGGCTCGAAAGGGGCACGAAAGGGGACCGTTTCTGACCCCCCCATTTATGACCCCCCCATGAAGCCACGCCCATTCCGCGTCGAAGCAGAAAACGGCACAAGCAGAAACTTCTGGATCTGCGCTGGGCGTCTCCCGCGCCGCCCCTGGAGGGACCCGCGCGCCGCCCCTGGCGCGATCGGCGCGCCGGGGGATTGGATGCACCGCGGATCCGAGGAATCTGCGCGGAGCTCCCGCAGCGTATGCATGTGCCGTCTGTTTTCGTTTGGGCTCCGCCAATTCCACCGGGACCCCCCTCCGTCGTGCCAGTTCTTCCCCTCCCCGCCCGTGCCGCCAAAAGGCCTCCCCTTTCTCCCTCCTCCTCCTCCTCCCTCCTCTTCTTCCTCCTCTTTCCTCCTCCCTCCTCCCTCCTCCCTCCTCCCTCCTCCTTCCTGCCTCCTTCCTCCTCCCTCCTTCCTCCTTCCTCCTCTTCCCTCCTTCTCCTCCTTCCCTCGTGCCAGTCCTGGCTCTCCCTGTCCCCCCCCCGTTCCGCCGCCTCCTCCGCCGCACGCCCGGGTGGCATCGGAAGGCACGATCGCGATGGACAATCACTGCGACAAGGTCGTCAGAGGCCAGCGCCCGAGGACGCACATAGACATCCTTCTCCTCGTCCTCATCGTCCTCCTCGGATTCCCCTGCCTTCTCTGCCTCCTCATCCGCTACCCTCAAGGACATACATTTACCAGATCGACGGCATGGAGAACGGGCATCATGACATGACCACTGAAGACAGCGTGAACTACTTTTCAAACATGCCCATGCACCAGGTGACCTTAAAAGCCGTCTGCAATTTGATGAATGAGGTACCGTTTGTTGGGTCAGTGAGCTTGCGGTAGGCGGAATGGCTTTCTCCGCGCCGGCTTACACAGCCTCTTCAAATCGCCGGCACAGGGGTACTGTTTTTGCCATGGTATGCGTCCTGGTCCGGCGTCTTTCTTTTGTCCTGCCCATCCTCAGTAGGGGAGTGTCGCTGGAAGCCCAGATAGTATGTCAGCAGTATAGCGCTGAAGTTGATGATGATGCTTATGATCAGTCGGATGGCGGCAGTTACGATCATGATGATGTCGACGGCGATAGTGATGGCTTGGCGATGTTTGCGGTGACGGTGCCGATGATGAAAAAAACGCATAACAATGCCGGACAATACCACTGAACTGCCATGGTTGGAGGGAATCGGAGAGGAAGGACCCAGATGACCCCCTGGCAAATAGGACCCCTGGCAAAGAGGACGTCCCGACAGAGAGGACACCCGCAGAAATAGAAACCGGCGACATGCGGGACGTGCGAATAGGATCCTCGGCGAAACGGGTTTCGTAATGGAGGCCCTGGGGAGAGGGGAGGGAGAGGAGGAGGAGGAGGAGGAGGAGGAGGAGGAGGAGGAGGAGGAGGAGGAGGAGGAGGAGGAGGAGGAGGAGGAGGAGGAGGAGGAGGAGGAGAGGAGGGAGGAGAGGAGGAGGGGGAGGGGGAGGGGGAGGAGGAGGAGGAGGAGGGAGGAGGGGGAGGACATGAAGTATCCGCTGTTGGAGGCAGCCCAGCGCCGCGGACGCTGACCCGGAAGGCTACGAACAAGGAGCGGGCGCGCAGAGTCCACACGTTGGTGGCTGCAGGCGAGGAGGCCCGCCCCTGGCTGCGACGGTGGGGGCCGAGCTGGCGCCACGGACCGAGGCGACGCTCGAGAAGCTCGAGGCGTGCTCCCCTTCCGAGGCGACGCCCGCAGACGCGCCGCATGGGGCCGCGACCGCCTGGGGCGCGACCGGGGCCGCCCTCCGCGGAGCTCCGGGAGCAGGTCGAGCAGGAGGCCTGCAAGCTGATCCGCCGCCCGCCTCGGCTCACGGCGCCCGGTCTGCTAGGCGCGCGGCTGGAGCACTTGGCGACCGGCGCTGGCAGCGGAGAGACTGTGGGCGCGTTCGCTCGCGCCGCGGCGCGGGCTGCTTTTGGAGAGCTCCAGGCCGGAGACCTTGCAACCCTGCAGACACAAAACCTGCTGGCGCTGTTCAAAGTGGGGAGGTCCGCCCTCTTTTGGTCGGAGCCACTCTCCGCCGCCTCGGCCTCCGCGCTTTGGCCCGGGCGCGCAGAACGCAGCTCTCTGACGCGGCTGGCGAGCACCAGCACGGCGTGGGCCGCAAGGGTGGGGGCTGGCCCGCTGGTGAAACACTTGCAAGCCTTCGCCGAGCGCCGGCCAGACGCGACATTTATCAAGGTGGATATCAAGGCTGCTTTCCAACGGATGCAGCGAGAGTCTGCCCTGGTGGAGGCCATGGGCGCAAAGGTCCCCGAGGTGGCAGCTGCGCTGCGAGCGTGGTGCACGCAGCTGGCCATGCACCTCTGGCAGGGGACACATGGGCGCTTCGAGGAAGTGGTCAGCTGGCGAGGCTTCGACCAAAGGGGACCCCTTGTCCCCCGCTGGGCTCGCGGATGGGCAGCTGGGAGCGCTAGAGCAGCTCCTGCGCGAGCTGCAGCGGCTCGACGCCGAAGCCCGGCTCTTCTCCTACCCAGGCCGACGCCTCCACTGGTAGTGCAGGCGGACTTGGGGGAACGGCTTCTGCAGGCGCTGGCGGGAGCCCTCGCGCCGCTGGGGCTCGAGTTGGACACGCGTGGCACTTTGGTGTGGTCCCCGCGCGGGGTCCAGGCGGTCCAGGCGGAACTCGCGGTCCACTTCGCGCCCGAACTACTTGTGTTGGGGGCCCACCTGCGCTCGCCGAGGGGCCCGCAGACGGACGCCTGGGCGCCGCTGCTCCTCGGCGGGGGCAACTGCGGCCTGGACAGCCCAGGGAGCGCCTGGAGCAGTTCTGGGGCCGCCTGCCGCAGTTGCAGCAAGGGGGCTCTCGCGACAGGCCGCGGCCGCGCAGCTGCGCATCTACGCTGGCGACGCGAGCCAGCACATCCTGCAGCTTGCGCTGGCGGCGGACGACGAAACGCACCGCTACGACGCCGCGCTGCGCGCCTGCTGGGAGGACCTGGCGGAGCGGCCGCTCGAGCCAGAGGCTTGCGACTTGCTGGGGTTGACGGCGAAGCTGGGCGGCGCGGGGGCCCTGTGGGCGGCGACGCGCTGAGCGGCCGCTGTCTGGGCGGCTTGGACGCAGGCGGCAGACGAAGTGCAGCGCGGCCTCGGCGCCGCCTCTCCCGCAGACGCTCTCGAGACGCCCCCGCAGACCCGCGCGAGGCTCGAGGAAGCGCGCGCCAGGGCGCCGAGCCCTCTCCAGGGCCCACGCTGGTCGCAGCGTTCCGCGAGGAGACGCGACAGAAATTGGTCGTTGCGATTATTCACAAGACAACGCACGCTGCTGCCAAGCAGCGAGTAGATCTTCGCAACCCATCCACTCTGCTATCGGCCGACGGACCTGGGGCGGGCGGGTTTCTGCAGTGCCCGACGGAGCCGCTCTGCGCCTTGGAGGACGTGGACTGGAGCACCTCTCTCCGCCGCCGCTTGCTGCTGCCGCGGCCGCAGCGTTGGCGCTGGGACCTGGCGCGGGCTTCCGCGTCTTGCTGCAGCGGGCGGCGCCACCTGCTTGGCCCCCCTGGACGCTACCGCAACTGCACTTGCCAGTCTGGCGGCGTTGTGCGACGCCACACCGACCTGGCGAAGGCGCTGGGGAGCTTGGCGGGGAGGTGGCGGCACTGCTCGCCCCTCTAGGAACAGCGAGCCCCAGCGTGGGACAGGCACTGCGCGCGGCGGCCAGCGGAAGGGACAGGCCCGCCGGTCGTGGAACAGACCGTACTGGACCTCCATACGCGGAGGCGAACGGCCCCTGGCAGGTGGACGTCGCTGTCCGCCACCCTGCGGCGGGCTAGATGGCGCTCCGGGCCGCGGCGCGACGGCCGGGTGAGACCACGCGCAGGCCGAGCGAGAGAAGCCGAGCGCATGATTGCGTTCGCCCTGGAGTCCTCGGGCCGCCTGGGCGCCGAGGCGCGGAAGTGGCTCCTCGTGTCGCGCAGATGGGCGAGCTTCCCGAGGACACGCAACCGGGGGATCTCGCGCGCGCCTACAAGGCGCTCAGCTGCGCGCTGCATCGGTGGCGCGCCTGCTCAGGCGCGCCGCCGGGCTGAGCTGAACTCTGGGCTCGGAGGCGCCACTGCGGGGCTGACCAGCGCGCGGCACGAGGCCGCGAACGGCCCTGGGCAGCGTCGGCCAGGGCTCGCCGCTGAGGCGCCGGGCGGCGGCGGGGCGGCTGCAGGGGCTGGCGCCGACGCGCTGCTGCTGGCCAGTCGCTGCGTCGCGGCTGGGCGACGAGGTGGCGGGGCGATCGCTGGAGGCTGGCTGGAGGGAAGGCTGCTGGCTGCTAGCTCCGGCTTTGGCCCCCGCTACGGGCCGGTGCTTGCGCACCATCGTCGCCTTCGCCTTGGCGTTCCCGTGCATCGGGATTTATAGGCCCCGGCGGGCAAGCCTC